AGGAGGCCTAATCTGTGGGATCTAATCAGTCTGTTGGAGGTAATTGGCAGCAGGCGGTCTCTCAAGTACCAATAGTAGTATTCCTTCCTTGGCTGCAATCTCAAAGCAACTGGAGGACTACTTGAACATTGAACATCATTACTGACAAAATCACCACCAGTCAAATGTAAAAGGCAGCTTTACTTGGAACAGCTTTCATCCTGCAGCAATACCTTTAACACTATAAAATAAGAACATCTGCTTATCTGATGTCCATGAGAAGTACTTGATAGGTGGATAAAAATGCCAAATTCAGTTTAAACATCTGGATGACTATGACAAACTATAATTCAGTAATGTAGAAATGCAAAAATAATTAGTTTAATACCTGTGCTAGAAGTCTAACTTCTTTAACTTCTTCATTCAGATCATGAACATCTTCATCTAGAAGCTGGCAGAATTTAATAATGCTGGCATCTCTTTCACCCACAGATTTATCAATTGCATTACGAACAGCAACAATTGAGGGCTTCAAACTGGAGAACAAAGCAAAATCTTCAGGAGGCGTGGGTATGACATACTGTTCAATAAGCTGATACATCTGAGAAACCACTTTTGATTCATCATCAAGGATTTCAATCTGAGGGAAGATAAAAACAAATTATTTTTCCATTTTGTTCGCAAATACTCTGATAGGTTATCTTAAAACGCTCAGCAAATCTTAATTGCTGTCAAATGCCATTTTAAATACAGGGCAGAACCTGATTTTAAAATTGCACAAAGAGATCAACGTTACCTACTACCTACATAAAGATCAAGCTCAAATGCATTCATTCTTGCCAGAGTGCACTAGGCCTCCCGGGGGCCTCCACAACGTGAGCCACTCTCTGCTCTGTTTAATAACCTGCACATCCGTTTAATGACTGCATCAGGGAGAGTGGGGATCATTAAGTGAGGTCATCTTCCCTAATGGCTATCACCACTTGTGACCATAATGGGAAGGCTCCATTGTAGTGATAAATCAAGGACTACTTGTACAACTGAGACTCATCAGTACACTTACCACAAACTGGGAGATCACTCCCCATAATTTCATATACATACTGTTATGTATTGTAGATACGTATAATTGAAGGTTTTACCCTGGTTATCTGCTGGAGTAGGAAAATATTCTCTCCTGATTGGCTGTTGGCTGATTAGTTCCTATAAAAGGAGCTAGGTCAGCCAGGATATTTTTAAGTTGCCTCACAGGCAGTATTGAATAAAGAGCTGTTAGAAGTTACTCTGGCCTCACCTCCATTCTTCGCCCAGAATTTAATACATACTATATAATATGAAGAACATTTGTTGTGTTACACATGCCACTGCCTCTGGGTCATGGGGGGGAACAGAGATTCCTTCCCTCACTGGCTCCCAGGATGAGACAAAAGAGTGGAAGAGAATTGGATTTCTTGGGGGTCATAAATATAGTCACAGTTTTACTTAACAACCACATCACCTAACGATTGAGTTACCAATTGTGATTGCAAAAGAAGTGCTATCTCTCTTAGCTAGACTGGGTACAAATTCCACTGATTTTGCTGTATTTCTCCATTAGTGCATCTCCTCCAGCATCCTGCTGTCCTCCCTCCAAACATTTTCTACTTCACTTAGTGCCAACATAGCCAGTGGCAAGGGATTGTGAAAGATGTTGGAAACATCTGGTGAGCACTAACTAGGCACTGCAGATGTGAAGGAAAATTACTCTTTGACAGGCCACACAACCAGTTGTGATACATAGGTTTCATGCCCTATTTATTTCAGCTAGAATATACAGCAAGAGTGGATTTAGATATGCACATTACATTGTAGCTATTTCCCAGGAAAGCAAATGTAGGAGAATACAATTATTATCTGGATCAAAAGGATCTATTTGATTTCTTATGAGAAACTGAATAGCATATATGGATTTAATGAACTGTAGATAAAAGAGGTCCAAGTATCTAAAAGCAAGCAAAACACATCTGGCAATGGCAACAAAATGAAACTTGTTAACTCATGCTACTTAATTAAAACAGTATAGTGAACTTACCCTATCTTGTATTTCATCAAGGAATGTCAAAGTAACCACATATTCAGTAGTTGTACTTGGCAGAAACTCAAGTTTAAATTTAGCATCATTTGCCTCAACGAGAATGGTATTCACTTTTTTCTTTGCAATTACAGGAAGCATGTCATTAATAACCTAAATGCAAAAGAAAGTATTAAAAGCATTAGTAAAATTATAAAAGGAAAAGTTACATTTAGTTAGGAATTTACTTAACATGAAAGTATTCTTTAGTCAAGACTAGGTAGTTTATAACAAGTACATGTCATGTCACGATTAAACGGAAATAGGTGATTTTGGGCCAGTCACTCTCTTAACGCTCAACCCATCTCAAAACATTGTTATGGGTAAAATAGGAGAAAGAAGATGTATTGGATAGATTCACTACCTTAAGGTGTTTGTAAAAATAATAAAAGTAAGATAAATAAACAAAATAAATAAAATTTCAGCTCATAATGGATTAAATTGACAACAGAATTCTGGAAAACATCTTCTAATTATTGGAAATAGAAGTCAATACCTACCACACCCCAAGGGGCATCCCTGATTTCCCAAATGCTGTTTTAAAATTATTACAATTGACTAAAATTGTGTTTTGATTTCAAAATTTTGTAAGATCTCACATGAGAAAGACTGTTGGCTTACCTGAATGGTCATTCTCTGGGAGAGTCCAAGCATGGGTTAACACAGTCTATTTGCCCTTGGACTGAATGAATTTTTCTTTGACCAAGCCTCCCTTTGCCTCATTGAGATCAGTTTAAAAACGAAGAAGTACCGTTGCGGGACGCCCGTCCCATAGTCAATTGAAAATTAAGAGTCTTGAACACCTCAGAAGACCCCAGGTGGGTTTGGACTCTCCCGCAGCGTCCAAAGAATGACCATTCAGGCAAGCCAACAGTCTTTCTCCTGTGCGCTGCTTGGAGAGTCCAAGCATGGGACATTCCCAAGCTATTGTGTCCCAGAGTGGGAAGTGTCCAAATTGTCCGGAGCCTTGGTAACTTTTTCCAAAACTCTTCTTCCAAAGGAAGCTTCGGATGAGGAAAGGGTGTCAATTTTATAATTTCTGATGAATGCTGTGGGAGAAGCCCACGTAGCCGCTCTACAAATGTCAATGATGAACGCTTGGGTCAGCCACGCTGCTGAAGTGACAGCACTCCTTGTTGAGTGTGCCATCACGTGTTCATAGGCCATCTTGATGCAGGCTCGCAACCAACACCCAATGGTGGAAGATGATGCCTTGCGGCCCAGTGACCCAGGATTAAATGATACAAAGAATGATTCGGAGCATCTAAAGTCCTTAGTCCTCTTAACATAAATGCAGACAGCATGTCTCACGTCCAACTTATGCCAAGTACGTTCCTTGGGATGCGTAGGTCTAGGACAAAAGTTGGGAAGAATCACTTCCTGGGTTCTATGAAAGTGAGTGTTGACCTTAGGGATGAATGTGGGGTCAAGTCTCAAGATGACTATATCAGAATGTATCATACATAGCTCTTCCCTGACGGAAAGAGACACTAGCTCTGAAACCCTTTGAGCAGATGTAATCACCACTAGAGTCAGATGATGAAGACTCGCCGTCCAAATTGGCTCGAAGGGCACGGTCATCAAGGCTCGTAGAACAAACGGCAAATTCCAAGAAGGATAACGGTGAACGTCCTGAGGAGAGATATTCACCGCACCCTTCAGGAAACTCTTGACCTGGGGGTGTTGACTCAGAGGACAGGAGGAACCCCTAGTGAGGATGGTGGACAGGGCAGCAACCTGGCAATAGAAAGTGTTGGGTGCCAGGCTTCTGTCCAATCCTTCCTGAAGGAAGTCTAGTAGTTGTGGAATTGAAGCAGAAATGTCTCTTATACCATGTCCCTTGCACCAGGCTGAAAAGGCGACATATGTCACTTCATATATTCTTGTAGTAGAAGGTCTTCTGAATGCTTGAATAGTCTTGATGACCTTGTCTAAAAGATTTTGTTTCCTCAGGAGTTCCTCCTCAAGTGCCAGATGGCAAATTGGAGCCACTGGGGATCCGGATGGCAGACGGCCCCCTGGCTGAGGGAGATTTGCTCCTGAGGAATCCTCCATGGTTTCTGAATGGAGAGGCTGACAAGGTCCACATACCAGGACCTCCTGGGCCAATGTGGTGCCACAAGGAGGATCTCCGCTTCCTCCGCTAGCAGTTTGGCTACTACTTGTGGAATAAGTGGGAGAGGGGGATATGCGTAGAGCAGTCCTGAGGACCACTTGCACCTCAGCGCATCCGTCCCCTCCGCCTGGGGCGAGTGGTAACAGGAAAAGAATCTTGGCAGGTCTGTGTTGGCATGAGTAGCGAATAGGTCTATTTGCGGTTGGCCGAATCTCCGAACTATCTGTTGGAAGAGGTCTGGGTGCAGACGCCACTTGGAATTGGCAATTGTCTGCCAGCTCAGCCAGTCTGCCTTCACGTTGCTTGCCCCGGATATGTGGTCCGCTCTGATGGATGCTAGGTGGCATTCCGCCCACCTGCCCAGAGACTCTGCCTCTGTCATAAGTCTCCTGGAGTGGGTGCCGCCTTGCCGGTTTATGTGGGCCTGTGTTGCTATGTTGTCTGTTAGTAACAGTACATGGCGGCCCACAATCTGTGATGAAAACCATCATAGGGCAAGCTGGGCAGCTCTCAGCTCCAGCCAGTTTATGCTGTGAGCTGTCTCCCTCTGAGTCCATCTGCCCTGAGTCAGCTGATCCTGACAATGTGCCCCCCATCCATAGAGGCTGGCATCTGTGGTCACCATGATTCTTTCGGGCTCCTTGAACTGGCACCACTTCTCTACTGCTACTGTTCGCCACCAAGTGAGGGAACAAATCACCTTCTGTGGCGGACAGACACGTCTCAGAGCGTTGCTGTCTTTGGACCTCTGCATTGGCAGGAGGAACCACTGTAATTCCCTGGCATGAAGATGCACCCAGGGAACTACCTTTAGGCAGGAGATCATGATGTCGAGAAGCTGTAAAAGTTTGATGATCGGCACTGACCTGCACTGCCAGCACTGATGTACTCTGCTCCGGCAGTTGCGCAGCCGGTCTGGGGAAAGGAACACCTGGCAAGAAACTGAGTCTATGATGGTGCCGAGGTGCTGGATCCATGTGGTCGGCTCAAGATGGCTCTTCTTCCGGTTCACCTAGAAGCCATGTTGTTGTAAGGTTCGTATGATCACCCGAATGTCTCATTGGGCCTGGTTGTGGCTTGAGGATTGAATGATGAGGTCATCTAGGTAACATTCCAGATGAATCGGACAGGACCGGAGGTAGGCTGCCACAGCTGCAAGAAGCTTTGTGAAGGTCCTGGGTGCAGATGAGAGGCCGAAGAAGAGAGCCCTATACTGGTAATGCCTTCCGTCGTAGTGGAACCGCAGGAACCTCCTGTGCGCTGCATGAATGGGAACGTGCAGGTAAACTTCTTTTAAGTCTTTGGAGGTGAGCAGGTCTCCTTGTCTTATGCAATCCAGGATGGAGTGGAGGGATTGCATCTTGAATCACTTGTGGGCCAGATGCTGATTCAGGCGCTTCAGATCCAAGATGGCCCTCCACCCGCCTGAGCTTTTTGGGACCAAGAAAATAATGGAATAAAATCCCTGCTTTTCCTGATCCTTTGGCACGGGTTCTATGGCCCTTATTTGGAGAAGGTGGTGAATCTCCACCTGCATGAGGAATCTCTTTAGGGGATTCTTGGGAGTTGGACAATGAATGAATGTCTGTTGGGGAAAACACAATAATTCTAAGACTAGACTCCTCCTGATTGTGTTGAGAACCCATGAGTCTATGGTGATTTCCTCCCTTTTGTCGGCATAAAGTTGCAACCAACCCCCTATGAGAGGGACGCGGTGATGGTCACTTGCCGTGTCAGAATTGGTGGGAGTTGGAACCAGCACAAAATGGCTTCCAAAGGAATGCTGTTGTTGCCTACCCCGTGCTCCGAAGGAGTTCCTATCTTGATCCCTATTACCTGCCTGAGAGTAGGATCTATGGTAGAAAGAGGAGGTGGACGCCTGAGTGGACTCCTGCGTTCGAAAGGACTGCTTTCTAAATGAACCAGAGTTTTTCCTCATTTTTCTTCAGAGTGGCCAGAAGGACCTTATGTTTGTCCTTCGTCTCAATCACAAATTTGTCCAGAGCATCTCCAAAAAGCTGCCCCCCTTTGAAAGGAGAAGCAAGTTTCCACTTCGCTTTCATGTCTGCCTGCCAGTGGCAGAGCCACAGCAGGGGGCGCAAGGTTACATTGGATGCCAATGCCCGAGATGCGAACTTTACTGCATTCAGAGAGGCGTCAGCCAAATACTCCACAGCTGTAATAATTTTACTGAGATCGTGACGCCACCAAGATCTCTCAGAGGGAGGTTTGGATCTCAGTTGTCTCAGCCAGAGGAGGGGTGCCCTGGTGAAAAACGAGGCAGAGGTGAATGGCCACCTGATGCATCTTATGGCACGCCTTCTCGGATCTTTTGTCTTCCGCCTTGAGACTTTTCAGTAGGTCCACCGGCAGGTTCGAATTGGAAGTCAAGGAGACCACCGGGGCATCCACCTCAGGTAACTTCAAAATATACTCCACCTTAATCTCTACACAATACAAGGATTTATCCCCACTGCTAGGGTTGGTCAAGATACCAGGCTGTGCCCACTGTCTTTGGACAACGTCCATAAATAATTCTGGAACTGGTATCAGCTCCTGAGTAGGAGCATTCTCCTTGAACAGACCTTCTTTGGGGTCCTTAGAGGAGGAGGATGGTATGGTCATACTCTTAGGAGTTGAACCTAGCTTGGTGGATGCTTTGGCCTTGTGTAGGATGGCCTTAAACAGGGATAGCTTGAACAACCCAGTGAAGGCGGGCTTATCGGGAGGAAGATCCTCATCCTCAGATAATTCAAATTCCTCGGCCTCCTCCTCCCCCCAGACCGATTCCTCTGTGGCAACCGAGGTGCCAGGAGTGGCTGGGGCATAGTCCCTGACCTGAACTGGAGGTGGTCTTGATTTAGATGTACCCGCCATGTGGGCATCTTTCTGCCTGATCCCCTCAGCTATGCCCTGGGAGATGGCCTGAGCAATTACTTCCTTCATCTCTGCGGACAGGCCTGGGCCTTTGTCTTCCCTGGGTCAAGCCCTTGACGGAGTAATCCAGCCCCTGTTCCCACCCGAGCCAGTTCCCTCCTCCGCTGGGAGGATGCCCTGAAAGGGTTCCA